AAGTAACAGAAACTCAATTTAACCTCAGTTAAAGGTTAGCAAAAAGATTAATAAATTGTAGTCTTTACTAGTAATTTTTAAGTGAAACCAATTCAGTTTCATTAAGTTACAGAAAACATCCTGATTAAATACTTTTTACCTTTTTTGTTTTGTTTGCTTTTTCTACTTAAATCAGTTTTAACATTTTTTTTTTTTAATTAAATAAAAGATTGTTCTACAGTGTAGAAAAGTTCATAATGCTGCTTTAATCCGAGTGCAGTTTGCTGGGTTTTATCTGGTTCAGGTTGAGATTGTGACAAAATGTTGTGTTATTTTTCCGTGTGGCAGGCGGCGCAGACGACGGCCGCCCGGGTGTCTTCATGGTGGATCTAGTGGCACCCAACGTGGCCCGCCGAGAGACAACGCCTTGGTAATAAAATTTATTACTCCGGGCCGCGCTTAGAGGACAAAGAAGCAAATAGGTGTGATGAGAAACCACTGTCCGACCCGGCCCGGGGGGGGGGGGGGACAGCAGGTTTTAAAGGAAGTGTCTTTTTTTCTGCCTCCAGACCAGCTCGCACACTCACTGTGTACATATTCTCCGTCTCATACAGTTCCTCATAGCAGATGACCGAACATTGGGCCTCTTTTATCAGCCGCAGACGCACATTTCTGCACATTTATCGTCGGTTATTTTCTTTTAAGTTGAAATATATGAGGTGAATTATGTGAAAATTAGCAAGCGAGCTGATATTTCTTCTGTTTTTGCATTAATTTTAGATCAATTCTGGACTAAATGAGATTCTAGTGCGACACATATTAGTTTTATTTTGGTTTTACACTCACAAATATGAGAGCGGGTCCAACTTATTCTGTTAGCTGCACTTTAACTGGAGTCACTGACTGCGTTTACATGCACGCTTATTTTTATGCTTTTGGTCCAACACTTTTTTCCACTGACTATATTTTATGGATGTTTCATATTATGTTTAATAATATCAATAATAGTTGAGAACAGCTGATAAACTGCACAATGAACAACAAACAGTGAACTCAATAACTGCAGTAAGTTTGTGTAAAACCAGAGATTTGGATGCATTTTGAGCAAAATGTAGATCAGAGATGAGTTTTTTCTGATCATTTTCGGAACTTTAAACAAGCAAACCAAGTTATCCAACAGTTTGTAAGGCTCGAGTAGAGATTCACGCACAAAAGAAAAGCTTTACTTCTACAAAATCTTTCATACAAAAACATCAAAAACATAAAAGGGAGACAAATAATGTAAAAACCAATGATTTAAAATCTGAAAACTAAGGCTGTTAACATTATTTAAAAGAGACATAGAAACAAAAAGGGACTCTCACCGGTTTATTATATAAGACTTTAATTTCAAGAGGTTATGAGCGAATGTAACAACGCCGACCTTTACAAGAAGGTGGTTGAATGGATGAAACGAGACTGCAGTTAATCAGAGTACACACAGCTGCATATAAACAGGAATGTCAATTATCATTAGTAGTAATATTTATAGTAGGATTATTGTCTTTTTTTGGATTAACCTGAATATTTTGTGCATGTAAACATTGTCACTGAGTTCTGAGCGACTGTATAAAGCCACTGGAAGATAAAAACGTCTCATTCTAAGGAAACAAAAACACAAATTCTTATTTCCAGGTGATTAAATAGGAATAAAAACATACTTATTTAATACTAAATTACCTTTTTGACAATAGATCCTCCTCAGTGTTTCACACTGGAGCTTTAAAACATTCACAGGCCCCTTTAGGGGAAACATCCATCTACCATCATATATTTCACACTTTCTGTAAAACCTACATACATTTCCGCAAGGGCTAAGAAATTCAACTTTTCATATTACTCAAAATATCCAGTTAGTTTTATTATAAATTATTCTTCATCCCACTTCTAACTGTGGAAACACATTTTTAAATCACAGCTAAAGTGGAAGTCTAAATCTAATGGATCACTGCGTTACAGTGCTGGTTTATTTTAGGCCACTGATTCCCAACCTTTCTTCCTTTATGGAGCCATCGACAGATACAAGATGGACACCTCCTCTCCCTCCTCACTGTACACGAATGAGGCCAGAATATCTCGGCTGTCTGTCATGATGTAAAAACCTCCTTTTTATAGCTTCAAATAAATAAATTAAAACCAAACTGATGATAAAAATAACATTTGAACAAACATCAGAGTGATAAGAACAACCTAAAATGGCAGAAATCATCGTTAGGAAAAAAATATTTTATGTGTATTTTACTTTTTGTCCAACCACTAGGGTGCGATAGAGGTTTAAAATGAATTATGAGCAGATTATTTCCTGTGAATATTGATCAGGAATCAGGAGTTTTTATGATATTTATAGAAACATTTTATACAATTATGTATTTAACAAATTGAAACTTTGTTCTATTTCTTTTCATCTAAACTCTAAAAACAACAGTTTCAGATAGTTTTCTTCACAGAAATGAACAAAATGTTGAGATTTAGGCTGACCGTGTATATTTTAAATGTTTTCTTACACCCCTTAAAATCAAGAAGGCCTCGCGACCCCTCAGGAAGTTTTGGCGAACCCCAGTGGGGGTCCCGACCCTTAGGTTGGGAATGTTCTGGCTTTATCTCCTAATTCATGATAAACAACCAAAAGCAGGATGCACAACTAGGTCTTTACGACTAATCCGGCAGTGGTGATCGATATCTAAAGTAAATGCTTTGCAGGAAGTATCCCTAAAGTGTCACAGTGGTTCCCAACCTGGGGATCGGGACCCCCACTAGGTGTCACCAAAGCCTCACAAGGGGTCGTAAGGCCTTCTTGATAAGGGGTGTAAAAAAAAACTTAATAAAATATACACAGTAGGCCGATATCTCAGCATTTTGTTGATTTCTGGGAGGAAAACTAAATTAAACAGTTTATTTTCAAAAGTTTAGATTACACTGTAAAACCAGATAAGTTAATTTAATTCAAAAAATGTATTAAAATTATAAGTAAAACAAACTAATTTTAAGTGACACTGACTTCATTTTGACATTTTTAATTGTACTGTAAAGAAAATACCCAGTAAAAAGTACTTGTTGTTTTTTAACGTACAAAATGTAGTTTGTGTAGTTATTACAGTGTATTATTTAATATCTAAACTTTGACCTGAACACAAGCTGTATCAGAACGAGTTGGCCTATTAAGTATTTATTGTTAAAAATAAACATAATATGTATAAAAAGGTCCTAAAAAATCATAAAAACTCTCTAATCTGCTCAAAATTCATCAAAATATCTGGTTTTACACAAACTTCCTGCATTTATTGAGTTTATATCAGCCTGTATTTGTTGAATATTGTATAAATAAATGATATAAAAGGTCCTTTAAGGACGAAGGTTTGCGAACCGTCTCATCAGCGCTGTGCAGGTTTTGTCGTCATCGTCTCCTGATAACTGAGGTCCAACGTCGGATCGTGACGTGAATGTTTACAGACGCAGCTACAAAAAAAAATCTTGTCAGTCATGATCTCCTGATGCCGGTGTGGTTCGTTTATTGTGTCCCCCCCCCTTTGAAAATAAATGAATAAATCAGCCCTGCTTTCACGAGACATGGTTAGAAAAGCACATTTTTAGGTCAGATCGTGTGCTGTGGAGACGAAGCATTTTTGGTAAATTTACTAAACTCTTGTTGTATTTGATATCAGGTTTGTATTTCTGTAAATAGGGTCGAGGTTAAAAAACACAAAAAAACAAGCGGTCTGAGATGTTTTGAAGCGATTGTCCTTCGATGCTATAAACTATTGTGTTGTCTTTATTTACAGCTAAAGTGACTCCGCCCTCCGTTCTCCGAACAGTTCGACCATGAAGTCGTTTTGATAGATTGGATTTGTAGATTCTGTAAGATGTTTATGAAGTAATCTCTGTCGTTCTGTGACGTGTTTCTTTTTTCTGAACCACTCTGTAATTTTTGCAGTGCCATATGGTATCCTTTATTATTAAAACCCACAATCCTTAATTAATTAATTACTCCCAACAGCACTTCATGGACGTGTGTGTGCGTAGTCTCTAAAAGGTAGCGACAGTTAATCTTCAGCCGCTTTACAATTCAAGCATCTGTTTCAATTCCAATGTTTACAAAAGTCGGATTATTTACGAGCTTGTTTACAACGCCGACACTCACATTGAGCTGTCCATGATTAGGTCTCAAATTCGCTTTATAAACCAGTACGCGGTGGGGGGGCGGCCATTTTGTTTACATTTGATCAAGGATTTGTCCTTTAGCACATTCTTGTGTGGATTTTGAAACAGTATTTCTGTACATTTAATAAATGGTCGAGTATCTTATTTAACCGGCTGTTGTCAGAAGTTTCACTTTTCATCCAGATTTCACACATTTGTTAAAATCCTCATTAATTATTTATAGAGTCTTAAATAATGTCACAATTCAGGATTATTTTATTAGGTGATAACTTATTTTAACTCAAAAACACTTAATTGAATTGATAATTTTGTAAATTAAAAAACCTTGATCAAGTAGTTTAAGTCATTTTAAGTGATTTAATTTTTTATTTTTATTTATACAGTGAAAATAAAAGTAAAGACTACTTAATCAGGAATGTTTCTGTAACTTATAAAGTTTAAATTTCAACAATTTCTTTGAATTTTACCCTAAATTAAGTTGTAATTTTAAGTGACACCAACTTAGTTTTTTAAGTTACAGAAACATTCCTGATTAAATACTTTTTATTTTTATTTTCACTGTACAAATAACAATTACAAATTTAAGTCACTTAAAATTACTAAAACTACTTGATCAAGGAGGTTTTATTAACTTACAAAATGTAATTAGTTTTTTTGAGTTAAATGAACTCATCTGGTTGTATGGAAGCCTATTTGTGCCAGTGTGATCAAACAAATTATTCTGTAAGTGATTGTAATGACAAACTTTCTCAAAATAACGACTTAGTATCTCAAAAATAATGAGAAAGTTATTAATTATAATGATTTACAGAATATTTTTTTCTGTCACATTGGCACAAATAGGCTTCCGTATAAACAATAACAATGTTTGTGAGTTGTTGTTTCTGTATTTTTGTGAGGAAACTGATATTTTATTGTATATTATGGTTTGTTGTTGTGTAAGATTGTTCCTCCCGGTAGACCAGAGAGATACGACTCTATATAATCCATCGAGGGTCAGATTGACCTGCGGGGGGCCAATAATGAGCCATGTGACCCCACTGAGCAGGGGCGGATCTAGAAAACACCTGCCCACCCGCAGTTTGGTGTCAAATTTAACACTTTAATGTGGATTAATTTTGAAAAATAAAAGCAGAAATTAATTTAATGATCTGTTACAGTCACGTTTAAGACTTAAGTTTGATGAAAAATTTCAATTTATTGATTTGTAATGTAGATATTTTTATTCAGTGCTTCACTAATGTGCCATAATAATGTTTTTAAGTTAATATCTTATCAAATATCTTCATTTGGAGGACGATTAAATCAGCCACAACCCTCTTTACACCGCATGAATATTTCTCTGGATCCGCCCCTGTTGCCCCCTCGAGGGCACTTTACCATAGAGGCATCCAACCAGTGCAGGTAGACAGGTTCAGGTTTGGGTGGAAGAAGCTCAAAAGCAAACACAGGAACATAACGAGAAGGGTAGACTCACAGCTTCAGGTGAGGGGTCACACAGGTAAAACTAATGAGGGCCGGAAAATGGACAAAACCAGGAAGTGACACGAGCAGAGAGGTGAGTATTTCAAAATAAAATTGAATATAATATATAAAAGTTTGAGAAATACTGATTAAAACAAACAGCAGGAGGCTGAATCAGTGAGGATAAAGTGTTACACTGTACACTGGTATTGATCACACATTCATCAATATAAGAAACCAGAGGACAGAATAAACTCATCAGTTGGATGCAGTTCTGCAGTCGTAGCACAAGGAGGCGTAAGCAGGTAATATCTTTATTTATTCCTCAGCAGTTATTTCCTGTCAGACCTGCAGTGCCTCTGGAGGACGAAGCCTGAAGCACTAAAATGCTGAATAACAACAACATGTTCAGTGAAAACAGCATATTGCCCCACATCTGTCTGATCATCTACATCTGTAGGCCTCAAGCTTCACTGTAAAAACACAACGGTAAGATTCTGGCAGCTGAAAATACTGTAAAATACCAATAAAGATACAGCAATTTACTGTAAACTGTTAAAATACAGTTTTTAGCTTTAATTTTATATAAAATCTTTGGCTTTTTAATGTTCAATTTAAGATATTTACACCTTAAAAATTATGAAATGAGCTATAAATACAGGCAAACGCTGCTATAATACAAATAATTAGTATTCAATTTACAGAAGAGTGCTTTTATTATTTGATTTTTCCTATTTTAATATGAATTTTAAAGTTATAAAACTAATAAAACTCATTATCTGTGAAATTACAGTAATTGTTGCTGTTTTCACAGTTTACCAATGCTTATACACTGATAAACAACATTTATTCAACGTTTTTGTTGTGAAAACTTTCCTGAATTATACGAGATATCAGTCAATTAACAAACAAATCCATGTAAAATTACACAACAAATACTTATTTTAACTGTTAATTGTAATTTTTTTAGAAAAGTATTTAGAGTATTAAACTTGAACTTAACAGTTTAATCTATTAAATAGAAGATATGAATTTATTCATTCATTTTAGGATTGTTAAACAGTTATTTTACATTAGACTTTTAAAGGCTTTTTGTATTTTTATCCATATTTCCACGTATTTCAAATAAACAGGAAAAACCTGTAAACTTACAGATGTTTAGTTACAGTGGGTGAATGGAGGCTCATATTTATGGCACAGAGGTGTTTTGTTTCAGTGTCGCAGTTCTTGAGTTATTACAGTGAATTAAGGGGGATTGGGAGCTTTTGAATTTCTACCTTTTGGAAGCTTTCTTAAATGTAATTATTTTTGTCCAACACACAACATATTTCTATAATAATGAAGATGTTAATTACCCATTACAAGAGGAAAACAGGTTATATCATATTCCAGTGAAGCGTAGCATCTTTACTGACCCTTTCGGGTTGGGAATCACTAATCTAAAGCAACCTGACCCCCACTAGACATAATACAGACAGAAAATGTTTCCTAAACAGGGGAAAACGTATTTAAATCACTCATTTCATACAAACTTTCTTAAAATAATGACTTAATATCTCAAAATTTGAATTAATATATCTGAATAATGACTTAATATCTAAAAATAATGACTTAATATCTCAAAATAATGACTTAATATCTCAAAATAATGACTTAATATCTCAAAATAATGACTTAATATCTCAAAATATTGACTTAATATCTCAAAATATTGACTTAATATCTCAAAATATTGACTTAATATCTCATATTTTTAATTAATATCTCTGAATAATGACTCAATATGTCAAAATCTCTGCAGCAGGTAGACCTATTGAGTTATGTCATTATTATGAGATAATACTCTAAGTAGTTATCATTATATCATCATCATATTATTATACTACAGTATGGCTTCATTTAGTAATTTTACATTTTATAGATCAACCATCTTCATTATCTGTCATTAGCAGTTCCTCCTGAGGTCAGGGTTCCTCTCTGTGCTCCGCAGTATTTGATGTGTTCTTCGGTTTGTGTTTGTGATGGAAAACTTTGCTGTCTTACTACCGTCCCCACCCACGTCACTGCCACGGAGCCGGAGACATCAATGAAAAGGTGACGCGCTCCGCATCGACGTGTGCGCTCCTGCCGCGCTGCCGCACAGCAACCAGGTGCTGAACTCACGGCGGGCAGCCTCTGCTATGAGCTAATGATGGGTCGACAATGGAGAGAGCGCGGTGTATGATGTCGACGATCAGCCCACAGACACACACTCGACCACATCCGCAGCGATGAGCTCCTCCTTTACAAAATCTGAATCCACGACCTCCTTACTGAAATCCTCCTCGGCGGCGGTGAAGAGACCAACACACCTCCCTGAACGCACCGCGGAGAGCCGGAGGAGTCAGCATCACCATCAGCAGCATCAGCACCAGCATCAGCACCA